ATACATTGTACAGCTCCAACTTACTAAATTACTATACGTCACTACTTCTTCCTCATCTAAAATTTATCAACTGTGTAGAGTAAAATTTATCAACTGTGTAGAGTCTAGGAACAATAATTAAAAATAGAAGAAGCGGGTAGGGTTTGTCACAATTTTATTACTCCGTATTTTTTAAATACTACTCTGTTTCTTTTTAGTTGCCACGTATTATTTTTTAGGAAGTTTTTTTAGTTGACACGTTTCCATTTTGTGTAAATTTTTTACTTTGCATTTACAATGTACCCCACTTACTGTTTCATTCTCTCTCACTCTCTCTCATCTCCTTAATATATGTGCCTAAATCAAACTCGTCAACTAAATAGAAACGGAGGAATGTTTACCATGGTCCCAAATACCCTCCTGGAGTCCAATTGGGTTGGAGGAACCATCCAATTTTCCTTTAAACGACCAATTTACCAGTTTACAACTTGCATCGATTTCATTAGCTCAAGCCTTCCACAAACATGTATGACAACAAATAATGATCATATATGGTTCCAAACGACATTATATATGGTTCCCTCGAATTTCAAGACTTTTAGACACCGGGCCAAAAGACTCCAAATTTCTCAAAAACCGTGGATATTCGCCTTCAATTTTTGAATTTTTTTGTTTTTTTTTTTCCGCTCGGAAATAAAAATTTCCGAAATGTTTACCATGATCCATAATACCCTCCCGGAATCCAATTAGGTAGGTGGAACCATCCAATTTGCCTTTAAACAACCAATTTACCGATTTACAACTTGCACCAATTTCATTAATTCAAGCCTACCACGAACATTTTTGACAACATATAATGATCATATATTGTTCCAAACGGTATTATATGACCCCGGGATGTATCCCCTAAAATCTTAAGGCTTTTGGACAATGGGCCCCGAAACCTCCAAAATTTCTCAAAAAACGTGGATATTAGCCTTCAATTTTGGAAATTTTTTACTTATTTTTCGCCCGGATATAAAAATTAACGAAATATTTACTATGGTCCCTAATACCCTTCAGGAGTCCTATTGGGTGGGTGGAACCATCCAATTTGCCTTCAAACGATCAATTTGCCTTCAAACGAGCAATTTACCAGTTTACAACTTGCACCAATTTCATTAACTCAAGCCTACCACAACATTTATGACAACAAATAATGATCATATATGGTTCCAAACAGCATTATATAACCCTGAGATGTATCCCCTAAAATTTCAAGACTTTTTGAAACCAGGACTTGAAATTTCTAAAATTTCTCAAAAAGCGTGGATATTAATTTTTAATTTTGGAATTTTACGACTTTTTTTTCGCCCGAAAATAAAAAAATTCCGAAATGTTTACCATGGGCCCTAATACCCTCAGGTAGGGCTGAGAAAAACTACCCGAAAACCGATCCGTAACCTTTTCGAAAATTAGGGTACCCGATCCGATATTCATAACGGTTCGGGTACCCGTTCCGATAATTTGTTATCGGGTATGGATATTGGGTCTCATTTTAAAATTAACGGTTACCCGATCCGTTCCGATAAACATTTTTTTTCCTTGTTTCCCTACTTAAATCTATTTTTTAAAAATCTAAACTCTTACTTTACTATATAATTATTTTATAATATCAATGATTTGTAATATTATTAATAATTTGGTCAAAATTATATGATAATGTTGTTAATTAGTGGTAAATTATATTATAATAACTACATAATTAAGTTTAATTATCATTATTGGATATCTTATTGGGTATCCAATAACCGATCCGAATATTCGGGTACCCGAAGTCCGAGTACCCGAACTTTTATCGGTTCGGAATACGGATATCACTTTTAGGGATTTTGGGTATCGGGTACCCGAACCATTAGTACTAATGGTACCCGTCTCATGCTCGCCCCTACCCTCTGGGATTCCATTTGGGTTGGTGGAACCATCCAATTTGCCTTAAAACGACCAATTTAATTACAGGTTTACAACTTGCACGGATTTCATTAACTCAAGCCTACTACGAACATTTATGAAAACATATAATGATCATATATGGTTCCAAACAGCATTATATGACCCCGAGATGTATCCCCTAAAATATTAATACTTGTCTACACCGAGCCCCAAAACCTCCAAAATTTCTCAAAAAAATGTGGATATTAGCCTTCAATTTTGAAATTTTTTGATTTTTTTTTTCGCGTGGAATAAAAATTGCCGAAATGTTTACCATGGTTCCTAATACTCTCCTGGAGTCAAATTGGGTGGGTGGAAGCATCCAATTTTCCTTTCAACGACCAATTTACCGATTTATAACTTGCACTGATTTCATTAATTCAAGCCTACAACGAACATTTATGACAACAAATAATGATCGTATATGGTTCCAAACGGCATTATATGACCCCGAGATTTATCCCATAGAATTTCAAGACTTTTCGACACTAGGCCCCGAAACCTCCAAAGTTTCTCAAAAAGTGTTGATATTAGCCTTCAATTTTGAAATTTTTTGACTTTTTTTTGCCCGGAAATAAAAAATTGCCGAATTGTTTACCATGGTCCCTAATACTCTCCGGGAGTCCAATTGGGTGTGTGGAACCATTCAATTTTCTTTTAAACGGCCAATTTACCGGTTTACAACCCGATTTACCGGTTTACATTGGCCAATTTAATTAACTTGCACCGAACCCTACTTGAACCGAAATTGACCCAAACCCCTTTTAACCCGTCAAAACCCAATTTTTACCCTACTTGTTACTAACCTGACCTGAATTCAACCTGACCCGTTCCTAACCCGACCCGAATTTCACCAAACCTGTTACAAACCCGACCCGAAATCAACCCGACTTGTTATTAACCAGACCCAAATTCAACCTGACTTGTTATTGACCCAACCCGAATTTTACTATACCTATTACTTACCCAACCCAAAAATTTATTTCAATCTGTTACTAACACGACTCGAAATTAACACGACTTGTTATTGACCCAACCTAAATTCAACCCAAATTATTCCTGACCCGATTTCAAATCATCTTAACTGCAATTTAGACCACCTTATTATTGTTGATCAAAGCATTTTGTCTAGGGAGACCAAGTCAGTCCAGGCCAGCAAAAGAAAGGAGCATCATCCTCAAATTTAAGAGTTAAATATAGTATATATTTGTTGTATGGTCATAGGAGATAATTTTCTTCCTAAATTATAGATTGTAGTTCAATTCCCTAGTATATTTCCATATATATTATAGTCAAAGGAAATAATTAGCTTGATAAAAATGATAATTATCTATTTATAGTTAGTTGAACCCGAATATGACCTGAATTGGAAATGACCCGACCTGATTGTAACCTGCAAATTATTGACTTGAACATAACCCGACTTGAATTCGGGAATGACCCGACTTGAAATTGACCCAACCTGATTATAACCCGCAAATTATTGACTTGAACCGAACCCGACTTAAACCAAAGAATGACCCGACTTGAAAATGACCTGACTTGATTATAATCCGCAAATTATTGAATTGAACCGAACCCGACTCAATCCCGAGAATGACCCGACCTGACCTGATTCTAACCTGCAAATTATTGACTTGAACCGAACCCGACTCGAACTCGAGAATTACCCTAACCCGATTAAACCCGTGAAAACCCGAATTAAACCCGACCTATTGTTCACCCGACCCAACCTAAACCCGATAAGAAGCATGAATCGACGTGACCCTACTTAAGCATGACCCAACCCAAACCCGATCTGCATAGGTTATAGAATTAATCTGAATTGACTCGACCTGAGTTGATCTGACCCACTCTTACCCAATCGACCTGTCACCTGAATTGACAGCTCTAGTTGTCATCTTAACAATACTCGAGCCATTTGCCGCTACTGCTACTTTTTCCAGACGAGACCTTTATAATATTAGAAAAATCGTTAATGTTGTGTTTATGATCTAGCTAGGTCCACAACAAGCGTACTCACAGCCGCATCCATCGCAAAATAAATTTACTCGTCATGAACCATATATAGTTCTTTAGAAGATGTTACTTTACTAAAAGAAGTGGGAAAATAAAATTAGTTTGGTACCCACTTATAAGTCCAAGTTATTTACATTTTCAACATAGATATACTAATTAATTGGTCCAAGAACCTTCTAAATAATGGCACAATATTATATAGATGTACAATATATATTTTTTTTAATCAATCTTGGAATTCCAAATAATTTGTTCAACAAACAGAACCACCCTATTTGGAATTAAGCTAGCTTGCCAACTTTTTGACCAAAAGTTCAAGTTTTCTTCCAAAATAAGCCTTCCGAATTAGTCATCCCAATTAGTCACCCCACTAAAGTTTTCCATTAAGGGCCTGCTCATATTTACTGAAATGAGCTTAACTGAACTGAACGGATTGAAACTGAATTGAACTGAACTGAACTGATTGGAACTGAACTGAACTGAACTAAGCTGAAATGAATATTTTATGAGAGAGGGAAATTAAGAGCTGAACTGAACTGAACTGATTGGAGCTGAACTGATTGAAGCTGAACTGAACTGAAAATAAGTATATATGAACAGGCCCTAAGTTGTCAACCCTAATAGTCAACTTTTTTCTTACTATCATTGTCAAGTGATGAATACAAACAGATAATCTAAAATAACGTACAAAAGTTCATAAACTAGGCTAAAAAGGCTTGAGGTCTCTCCTTTTTCGAAACCCGGAGCTTCTGCGTTATTGAAGCTTAGAAACGACGTTATGTGTTAATAAAGCTAAGAAATGACATTATGTGTTAATGAGGCTTAAAAGTGACTGACGCTTAAGGAATTCTTATTTGCGACATGTTTTTTTTTATTAACAAAGCTCGAGTCATTTTCATGCTACATAGTTCAAAAATAATAACTATAAAAAGTTATACGGATTATATACACATACACCGAAAGAAATAAATAAAACATACATCAATGTTTACTGAATCATAATACGTTATACGTACTTAAAAGGGGGGATATAATGAGGAATTTTCCTTGCCATACTTTTCATTTACTGAGGTCCAAGCCTCAAAAGTTTACCACAATGATGAAGAAGTACAATAACTAATTAAAGTCGTCCTAATAATCCTAACACTTACCATTATGAACAAAGCTTTGGGAGATGTTTAACATTATGTACACAACACACTTTTGGTGTTGTCATTACATTTGTGACATAATGACTTTGTAACTTACCAAAAATATTTTCTAATTCTACAACTGTCCATCCCATTTCTTGTAGATGCACTCTAAACTCCTCCTTCTTGGCTAACTCTTTGACAAGAACTTCATCCCTAGTTGTGAACGATTTCGCTTCATGACCCCTACAACTCAAATTCCTAAATACTTTGAGGTGATTAGTGTCCTTGATTGAGCGTTTTAGTGTAGGATTTTGATGAATTACGGCTTGTACTATTGCTAACAACGGAAAACTAGTGTTTCTAGACAGCCGGTTTAGTACTTGTGGCGAAAGCTTGTTGTAGTTCAATGCTGCACATATTTGAGTTTTTTGTTCTTCATTGAGTTTTGGATGAACCTACAAACATAAGTAGCATAAAAGAGTAAGGCCCGGTTCTTTTCACCTTAAAAAAATAATATTAAGTAAAAATAATTTCAGTTCAATAAAAATAAGTTCAGTTCAGTAAAATTAATTTCAGTTCAGTAAAAATAATTTCACTTCAGTAAAAATAAGTTCAGTTCAGTAAAATTCAGTTTTCTTAAAGAAGAATTATAATAGAAAAACAGTAAAAATAATTTAAGTTCAGTAAAAATAATTTCAGTTCAGTAAAATTAAGTTCAGTTTAGTAAAAATAGTTTCAGTTCAGCAAAATTAAGGTGAATCAAACAGGGCCTAAGTACTAATAAAAAAAAGTACTCAGCCATAATAAGTTATTTTGTACAATAACAACTTATTTTTGTAATTTCAAATAAAAATATTTCTATTACTTAAAATGGATGGTTACCTCAAGAAAGATTTCTATAGCTTGGTATATCTTGTCACAAGAGTCACGAGCAGAATCTGGGATTACCATGGTAAGTGCAACAAACATGGAGGGTTTCAATCGATGATCCGGTGCAATTTCGCTAGCATATGAATCCACCAATCGCGCTACTCTTTTCAATCGATATGAGCAAAGCTTATGATGACTTATGTTCCCATCCAAAAGAAAATTCTTCAAAAATCTTAGTACAATGTTCACATTGTACATAGTATATTTCTTTGTTTTTCTTAGAGGAAATGGAAGAAGTAAATCATCCAATGTCGCTTGATCAAGTTGCAAACCAATTAAAATCTCGAGTTTACTCTTGTAGGGTTGTGTTAGCTTCAAATTTGAAGCAATCCTCAAGGTCTCAAACAATCCCTTGATTGAAATAATCCTCTTATCAAGGAGAGAAAGTAGGTTGATTAATTTTTCGACGATTGTAGCCCTTACAACTATATTTGTAACACCAAGAACTCTCACTCTTTGATAGTAGAAAATAAACTTGCTTATTGTAACATGATCGAATTTCTCTAACACCATTTTCTTTACCAATAACTCAATCAAATCAATAGTGAGAGTTGTTGTAAGATCCTCGAACCACCAAAACATACGAAAATAGCCACTTTTATTACTTATTAGAGTGCTCTTAGAATCACATGAGGATCGAAAACTCGAGCACTTAGAAGAATAAGAGGAAGGTGTTGTTAAACAACGCGATGCAAGCCTCTCAACAAACTCACCTACTAACCTTCGAACCGAAGAAACTGGATTGATATCGATCAATAAACGTTGACCGTCAGTCAACGCTAGTAAAAGCTCGGACCAATCCCATAAATCGACTCCCTCGAGAAATTTCTCGGTTCGATCCATCAAACTAGGCCTTCCAAACACAACCTTGTTTATTTCTAAGTATCTAGCTACATGTTGTAGAAACAATACGTTCGAATGAGTTATGTCGATGACACCATTGTTGTAGAAGAACCTTGTGATAAGCTCAAAGCCGGTCGGTCCACCCGGAAAGTCTTGGAATATTACTTTCGTCTCCTTGCCACCATTTTTGCACCTTTTCTCAAATATATTGCTCAACTTACTAGAAAATTGAGCATAAATTTCCTGCCAAAAAAAAAAAAAAAAAAGAAAGTTAATACACCACAAAATTGTAATACAATGTACCAACTATGTAGTAAATGCATTAAAAACATAGGTTATAACTATATTTTATACGTAGTAATAACATGCAAATATAATGTAATATGATCAAGAAAAATTACCTTGTTCACCCAAAAAATATGTTGGCCATTGACATCTACTTGAAGGTCACAATTAATTTCCATAATGATGTTTGAAAACAAGTAATTAAACAAAATTATGTCTAAATTTATAATTATTTATGGTGATTAAGGATGAAGATGTGAAAGGCAACAACATAGAAATATAGAATAGGGTGGAACTGAAAAAGAAAGAGAAGCTTCTTTGTATAATTTTAATTTGTGGAATTTTGTGTTATTTGCACTAATTTCAACTTTTCAAGTTTAGAGACAAAACATAAAACAAAGAGAAGCAAAAAAAATGTCTTACATTAGACTAATAAATTTATTTAGTTGATAAAAGTTGACCATCCCAGAAAAAACCAACCACTTGTGGACAAAATTGTCATCTATTTTATTTTCATTGTTCCTTGAAATAAGATTCGCTTTTTTCTAATTTTATACAAAGTACAAGTAATTAAAAAAACATATTCTTGGGTATGTTATTTTTTAATATCTTTTTGTTTTTGACAAATATGTTAATTAACTGATTGCTAATTGTTTATAAGCACTAATGTCCGTTAATTATAAAGGTAAAAATCCTGTTATGGTGTCTTTTTGAGATGGTAGGTCCGTAATGTATGAACTAAAGCTGACAAAAGTTGATTATCAATTAATCTTGTCAATTGATTGCATTTTTTGGTAAGTATTTGAGGTTCTAGTTGGTGTATGTTTTCCCACCTGAGGCGTGACGTGTTTTTCTACATGTTTGAAATTGCGATTATTGATTATGTTTATGATGTTACCTAGCTAAATCAATAATTTTAACAAAGACAATATGTGTCGGAAACAAAATTGTACAAGTAATAGTTAAATTATCAAGTAGCTTGACAAAAATCGAAGTGTTTTATACTCTCAACAAATACTATCATGTTAATTACTTTGGACGTAATTTTACATTCTCTCATATTTTCAATTTAATATGGCCAATTTACACACGACTTTATAGAGTCCATATAAATGAAAATGTGACAGGACTTTATATTACACTTGTTTAAAAGATGCAAGGACATTATTATTCATATTAATGCAATAGCCCTATCTTTCGTTTGAATTACAATATTGGTAAGATGGTTACTCCTTTTGCCCTTTTGGTCATGATTAGCTACTCAATAATTAAAATTAAAATTCCATTTAATATTGAACAAATTTAAAATAATTCAACACAAATCTAGACAAATGTATGATCATTAAAAATTATGATCTGTTAAAGAATAAACTTCTCATGTGTCACCACATGTAAGTGTCCCACATTGGTTGGAGAAGAGAGAATTAAACACTTTATAAGGCTAATGGGATACTCCTCCTATTGCCATATGGTTTTGGGATGGAAATTCCTTGGACTTGTGAAGTGGACTTTCTCTCTTGGTTTACGGGTGTGGCCCAGACCCGCGTTTAATATATGATCAAGCATGATATTTCGCCTGCCTATTGTATAAGAAAACACATCAAGTGTGAACAAAAATAATTATAACGAAGTCTCTATCCAATTATTCCAATAGTCTTTATCCTTTCGCCCCACGTTGCCGGTATGCAAGCAACACTTTTAGGCGCCAATTATGGCATCAATTGGTATAAAGACGCTTCTAATATACTATGTATTTTTTAGTTTCTTACATGTAATTTTAAGAAGTACCTACCTCATTTTTTATATCTTGCGGTGGAAAAAGCTTGTTAAGAAGATAATGGGTAGAAATTATTTTATACACCCGGGTGTACCGTATAATCATGACTATTTGCTCTCATTTTGATGTTAGTTTTTCATTTTATCAAATAAAAGCAAAAACTAACCTTGGGGTTAATTGGGTGATCAAGCTTGATATTTCGCCTGCCTATTGTATAAGAAAACACATCAAGTGTGAACAAAAATAATTATAACGAAGTCTCTATCCAATTATTCCAATAGTCTTTATCCTTTCGCCCCACGTTGCCGGTATGCAAGCAACACTTTTAGGCGCCAATTATGGCATCAATTGGTATAAAGACGCTTCTAATATACTATGTATTTTTTAGTTTCTTACATGTAATTTTAAGAAGTACCTACCTCATTTTTTATATCTTGCGGTGGAAAAAGCTTGTTAAGAAGATAATGGGTAGAAATTATTTTATACACCCGGGTGTACCGTATAATCATGACTATTTGCTCTCATTTTGATGTTAGTTTTTCATTTTATCAAATAAAAGCAAAAACTAACCTTGGGGTTAATTGGGTGTACGATACACCTGAGTGTATATAACAATCTCTCGATAATGGGACAAGGGAGTCAAAAAAATCTCACTTTTTAACTTGTGGGAAAAACTTGTTGAATACATGCCACGAAAAAGGGTAATTATTAATAAACTTCCCATGCCCAAAGTGGGAAACTGAAATGAACAATTTAAATCATTCCATTTATATGTGATTACCTAGAAAATTGGAAAAAGTATTCTGCTTACCAATCTAGTATAGAAATAGTTAGTTAAATAATTTTTTTTTTTCATATTCTATCTCACCTTATGGTACTATGATAGAGTTTTGACTAAAGTAAAGACCACTTTTGACCACATTATTCAGCTAAACTTGTAAAAAATTTATCATGGATGTCAGCTCGCTTTGTCGGTAATACTTTTAGAGTTGTTTCAAAATATAAGATCGAATCTTGTCTATATACTTCGTAATTAAATTGACCTTTTTGGGTCTATCAATTTTACATATTGGACTACTCTTTATGAGCATCAAAACATCGAAGAGATACATACAAGTACATGAAAATTGATTAAAAATGTAGGAGAATAATTATGCAAGACAAGTAGGTACATTGAAGCAACCGTTGACAATCAAATTGATTGTCAACATTCATATTACAACTAAGCTTTCCCTCTCCCAAACAGCGTAATCGTTTCCTGAAGTAGCAATCTTAAAATTTGATGGAACTAGGTCACCAACTTCAAATCTTGAACCAGTCTTAACAATAATCTTTTCATCAACCATGGCAACGTAGAGGTCGGAATCCGAGGCCAATATAATCACTCTACTTGATTCACATATACCATTCCTTACCCTGATTGCAGCCAACTTAACGATTTCTTCCTTTAGTCCCCATTCGAAAAAATGATCATAGAACTGTAAAATCACAAAATATAACTTACGGTTAGTCTTAAAGATACTTAAAACAATGTAACATAATTCGAAAAAGGAGTGAGGGATAGCTCAAGTAGTTACAGCTTCTCTCCCAGTTTTAAGAGATTCAGGGATCAATTCTCATCAATCCATGCCCTTGTGGCTCTCTATATACCAAAAAAATATAATTTGAAAAAGAACGTTACAAAACTAGTGATCATACTTACAATTGATGGTATACCGGGATGAGTAAGAATATAAGCATATCCTTGCATGACTTTATCAGATGGGAAAGGCCACAAATTTTGAGTAGAACCAGTGTCATGGTTATCAATGAAGGTAACAGCATGTCTTGGTGAAACTCCAATCATTCCACTCGGTCGCCCACTCGAGTCCTTCATTCGCCACCATTCGTCCAGGACTGCAGCCTGCAATATACCTTTGGTAGTAAAATCGAACGCAGTAACAACACCTCCACCAGCATTTTCAACCCATGTAACCAGCTCATTTCTATGTGCATCCTGATTATACGCCGGCTTACCATCTTGATAAGAAATCGAGTTCCAAAGTTCTCCTACAACAAAGTCTGGTTTAGTTTGCTTTACATATATCTTGGTTATATTAGGTGCATAACCTCTCACAAAATCAAACCTCCATCCACTGAAACCAATCTCGGTTTTCAACCAATTCATCCAATCTGACAGCTCTTTCTGTACTCGTAAATTCAGATGATCAATATCAGGAGCAGCAGGATAACCATCTCCGGTATCTAGGTGGCCAGTGCCATCTGAATATTCAATATCATCCCTACAAATGGCCCAAGGACCCCAATCTAGGCGATCATCCGGAGTTCCTCCCTCGAATATACAATATATCCCTCTTGCATCTTTGTAGTCTGCACACCTATGGTTTATCACTATATCAGCAATAGCTTTTATTCCCTTTTGGCGAAAAGCTTTGATCAATGTCTTCAGCTGAAGCTCGTTTCCGTATTGAGAAGCATCAAGATCATACAATCTTCCTGGCAAATACCCTGCAATTCAAAGAGATGAATTATAAAACATAACTGATCGAATTTTGTCATAACAAACTTGTTACAGAAATATATATATACAAAGAACAGGTAAATTCAAGTTTCTCTCTAAGATAAATCTGTGAATAACTGAATATATCTCCTCTCACAACCTAATCATTTTCTTTTATTTTTTAAAGGATAAAAGTAAAATAATAAAGTGACATAGAATTCAATACATAAAGTTGTGAGCGGAGATAAAATAGAATGTATGATAAAAGGCGTTACCCTGAGGAGCAACCGAGTGGCTAGGTGGAGGAAGCCAAATATGTGTGACACCAGCTCTAGCAAGATCATCAATGGAGTTCAAGAGAGAGTTGTACAATCCTCCTTGTTTATTACATGACTCCCAATTGAATCCCTATTCAAGAGATATTTTCGTGTTAATGATATTATCTTAGAAATCGCGAATATTAGCCAAACATATTCATTGACATAAAAACAAATATCATGATCGGACAAAGACATACCTGGAACAGCAACGTCGGAGTAGGAGCGACAAGAAGAGGCGAAATGCCAAGAAGAAGACAGCAAAGAGAAACAAGAGGTAAGAACTTCATCTTCGCTTCAACAATTATGATTGGTACCAAAACTCATCTATCCTTTAAGAAGCCATAAACCAATCATTATTGAATTATAAAATAATAAAAATCAAGTTGTTAAAAAGTCTTCGTTGTCTTGAAAGTCAAGCTAAGAACAAGTCGTTTATTGGCCTTGTTAAATTCTAATTCACCTATCTTGAACTTTATCAAGACTGGTAGAAAACTATACATCTTTTTATACTTATGGTCAATTGCAATCGACATGGTCGTGTACAACGGTTGCACAAGATATTTTAATTTCATTGAATTTGAGAGAGGTTGACACTGAGTACTAATTTTTGGACTTCATTAATGGACTGAATTGCTCAATAATTTTAACATAATACACGTAAAACTATGCACGGAATGCTAAAAAATGGTGCACAAGCTCATATACTGGCCAGAAATTCAAGATGAGTCCAATGAAATTTGATTTCCACACATTCAAGTACATCAAAGACATTTCAGAGACATGCTCAAAGGCAAGTCTGTAAAAACCCAAGTAATCATCTGAAACAGTAATGAACCAAATATCATTCATATCAAATGGGTATGAGGCGGATTATCGAAGAAACCCCCCTGCTTTGACTTGCCGATAACTGAGCAACTACCAGTCAGTTCCTTGCCTATCACAGGACCTGAATCCTCTACCTGACAAGGAAAAACGAATGTGCAAGCGATCCAGCACAAGCAGCAAATTCCTTGCTCATTGGGACTCAACAATCCGGCAAAAAAAGCAAAGACAGCTGAAAATCCCCTTATTATTCACCATGTTTCAGGCATATTCCTAAGCTCATTTTCCTCACAACTTCTCTTGATCCAGCACAAGCAGCAAATTCCTGTCCACTCTCTCCCGCGATCGAGCGATCTCTCAAGCAATTGTCTTAAACCAATCAGTAACCATTGATCTGAGGTCTTGGTGAACTGGTAAGCCTTGAAAAGGGCACCTGTGAACGAACAGGGAGCCCCTTTTGAGCAGGAAGTCCTCTTTGACCAGATAATTGATCAACAGGTTTGGGACCTGACACTGATCTTGAAAAAGCTTGTGCAAGATCAACAGCAGAAACAGCCTTTCCAAAACGCAGTCCAGAATTGTCAGTGTCACTAGGCTTAGGCTGTTCAACAGGCTTGCGCCAAGTCTCTGGTGAAGTTTGCCTCTCCTGCTGATGCTTCTCGGTGTCTCGGCCACTTCTCCAGTTTTCATTACGCCAATTCTTTCTTTGCACATCAGCTCTCTGAATATCTCCTCTTTGGTCTCTCTTCTCATGGCCTCTTCCAGTCCTCTGATCAATGGAAAGATTATCGATCCTTTCACCCTGGCGTGAGGTATTACCATATGCAGGAGCTGCTACTTCAGCACGAGGGGAATCATTTTTAGTCCTACACAAATAATCAATAATCCATACAAGTAAGCACGTAGAACTGATAGATACTCTAGTAGTTTAGTACTTAATGTACAGTTGAGAAAAATCCTTCAGCGTTTTAGATATAATACACAGATGAAATCAATTTTGTGGTTGATATAATGGGAAGAGTAATATCCTTACCCGCTTGGACCTTGCGCTTCATCATGGCTGTTGACAACATCATGAACACCACGCTCCTTCAAAATCTGGCCACATAAAAATAGTTTTTAGGACAAAAACAAATAACTAAACCCCCCACCCCAAAAGAAAAAAATATTCATCCCTAAAGACCCTGGTATTTCCTTTTACTGCTTCAAATGCACCACAACCTCTTAACTGCAAGCCCCACACTCTGAAGCAAAAGAAAGCTTTCTATATCCTACAGAAAAAGGTAATAGGCTTTTCACCTTTCCCTTGTATTTCAATGTTTTCAGCCCGCCATTCATTCTGAGTAGCAAACTAGTCCTTAATTTCAACCTCTAAACTACAGTCTCTAGCACTCGAAATTTGCATCAGTTCAACTCATGACTCATGAGGCTCCATGCCAATTGCTGTCCATTGAACCATGTCAAAGAAGTAAATCCGAACATTTAGAGTTTTGGACACTATTTGGACAGGACAATCCTAGGTGAGTCTGAGTATTACAACACAAGTATATTCAGAAAAAATAAAGGCTCACACAAGATAATCTTGAATTTGAACATTTACCATTTCCCTTGGCCGAGCACCACCAAACACCGCCTTCCTGCATTAATGCAAACGGATAATTAACTCTAAAGCCAGTTTTATCAGGATTCAGGAAATCACAACTCGGCGCAACATATTAATCCCACATAACAAACATTTTAGTCTTAAAAACAAAGATCATTTATTATAGACCAGAATACAGCCTTATAAGGAGGACAAAGTACATGTTGAGAATTAATTGAAGAAACTATGTAATGGTAGAAAATGAATCAGCAGAAAATTTCTATTGTAAGGAAACCATGGGGTGATGGGACTATGGGAGTTTGTGAGTATGCAAAATATCAGTAAGAACACTAACAAAGTACCTTCCTGTCACCATAAAACAGTAACTAAATAAGTCTACATTACATTGTTAATCTGTAACCTTGCCCATCAAAATTAACCTCAACCCCACCACAATACCTCATATCCTGAAATTCCTGATCATAACTTAAGGAAGGATTTGATGCACAGTCTGCCCCTCCAATAACTTAGAGTTTGTTTCCAATAGAAAATTGACTGAAGCAAAATGCCTACTACTTCACAATAAACACAAAGAATAGACGGAACCGTTTTAATTAAGGAAATTACTATAATGCTAACGAGTATTAAACATTTCAGGTTCACATCTTCCCCTACCTTTGATCACCCACATACCCAATCTCCACCATATTCTATATTTTTGTTGCCACAGAAAAGCTTACCAATACCAATTTGAGTGACAAACAATTTAAGACTACCGTTAAAATGACCTTGTCCAGAATTCCACACAATTAACAAATTTAACAGAGCTGAGTAGAAAGCTAAGTTATGACATGATAATGACCAAAGAGAAAAAAACAGAACCAAAAAAAAAATTAAGTGCTACCAAAGAAAGGAATTGATAAATCATTTGAGATGCAGACAATTGATAAATCCGTGCATATGTTCATATCAGATAGGGCAGCAAGAACATACAGAATTAGCCTTCTCTAAAAGTCCTGTGGTAGCTTGGGGTGCAATTTGTAAATCTACTAAATAACTCCCAAACCATGCTCGGTTTTTAAAATTTATAGTATGTGAAATTCAAATATAGAAGTTTCTAGAAAAATGAGCACAACGATAAATAATGAAACAATAAAGTTCCTAGACAAATTAATAATTCTTTCAAAAAAAATAAGGTAAATTAATATTTATGTAAAAATCTAAATCAAATTTTATTTTATTTTATTTTTTAAAAAAGTGAGAGAGAAAAGAATAAAGTAGAGTTTAGGAGAGAAAATTCCCTCCAAAAATACTCTACTTGAGTATAGATCATACATTTCTTAGAGAGGTTAAGGTGTGAAAATACTGAGAAATAATGTCAACTGAAACATTGTTTGCCTTGGGAAACATGTTTGGAATGTGCAAACAAGGATGAGAGCATGTGACTAGGCGGATGCACCATAATGCAGCTTACAGTTGCAGCTGGGTCTGAAAATCAAGTTATGAAAGGCATAGTGAAAAAATGGCATTGCTGATGCCACATGGCTTCGTGAATCTTCTCGGCGGTATTACTCTTACTTCAGACTATAAATTAAAAAAAAATGGCCAGGAAGAAATGCTTAACTGGCCAATTTAGGTTTGGAAATACCACAATGAACCTAAGAACTTAACTGCAGGTTAATAAGAGGCTACTAATTTTATTAAAAAAAAATGAATGTGACTACTAATTTTATTAAAAATAAATGAACGTTATAGGGGTCTATGATAATCAGAACTGCATACTCAGTCAACCTACCAGAGACTCATGATCATATGTTTTATTTATTTGTTCTTTTACAAAATAACAAAAAATAAAGAAAATAAATGATGGCTATATACAGATAAAAATAAGCATTCTATTTAAAACCTCCAAACACAAGTACCACAGATACCTCCTAAAAGAATCAGAAACCACTTCCCACCCCACCTCACCCTCCTCTTATAGAAAGGTTAAGGAGAAGGAACTTTGGCTTAATCTACCAAAAACATAAAAGCACTTCTATGCATTATATAGAAAACACAAAGACTCACTTAAAATGAATCATCAAACTTGATCAAAAAATTCAAATCACATGCTATAAGCAATAACCCACAGAACCCCACCCTCCCTCCAATACCCTAAAAAAATGCTCAATTTATAAAAAAGCAGAACAAAGTAGGGTAAAAAAATATGTCAGGCTACCACAAATCAGAAGCAACAGGGCAAGCTGCCTATGTCAAAGTAAAGAGATTCACTAGAAATTACAAAATATAGATCGGACTTAAAGCAAATGGTTTAATAATCAAAAGAAGGATGCAAGTAGAAATGAGCTTCCTGAAGCATCCAAGCAAGGAACTTACCTTTCTCTTTGAGTATTTCCCACTACATTGTCAGCTGGCTGTGAACGTGGCTTTAAGTTCAACTTTGGACGCTCCACAACCTGATGCCCAGCTGCTTCATTGCCACTTACTCCAGGTTTCCCCTGGTTTGCTTCACTACTACTTGGTCTAGGTTTCACATGACTTGCATTGCCATGGATTCTGTCTGAGTGTCCAGTATCAATTGGCTGTTGAAAACCCTTCATAAAAACAGGAAGATGGACACAACAATTACCATAAGCATTCACAATAGAGAACCTACAGCCTAGATATCAGACAATTATCAAATTATCATATTAATCATACCTGCCTACAGTCAACAGAAGATGGCTCTTGGACATCCAAAGGCTTGGTTCTTGGCAGTAGTTTCAACTTAGGCCTTTCAGACACTTCTGGAGGCTGCTGCAACAGAGGACCTCCATACTTTCCATCAGGGTGAGCTGGTTGACCCTCGTTAGTAAACAGCACAGAATTCTGCACTGGAGAATGCACCCTCTCAACACCAGGCATCTCCTTAAAACCACCACGAATCCCGTCTTCTATTGCAAGACCCCTTTCAACCTGCCTCACCAATGTAGTGTCATTATATTCCCTTTCACAAGAAATGTTTACACCACCACCATAAGAGTCACTCTCCCTCCCATTCAAACTATTAGGCGAATCAGATGACCTAATGACTTCTACATCCACCTGATTTTGCACTGGCTTAGTCTGCCATCTCCCTGACGAAATCTGGTCTAGTGCACTTGCTTGTGCAAACTTAGAAACAGTACTCTGTCCACTCCACAAAGATGGCCCGGCATCAGACACAACACGAGTCTCTTTCTTAACACCCCACGCATTTGGCCGAGAACTCCCACCAGCACCCGAATGGCCTCCCTCAACAACCCTAGCCGAGTAAGACCTCCCCCCAGATCCCCCCATATGAGGCACCACAGGCCCCAAACTCGGTTGCCCAGAAAACTTTCCAACATCAGCTCGATGGTCAGACCGAATCGAAACCCCAATACTACTATCATCATTCACAGTCCTACGAGGAGCAGAAGCACCCCCATCAAGCGGCTTCCTTTCATCCTCATCAAAATTTCTACCTATGTTAGCAGTACTAGTAAGAAAAGGGGTCTTATTATCATCCAAACTCCTAATCGAACCCGACGAACTCGGGCGCAATCGATGGTCAGATCGACCCACCATTGGGTTTCCCCATGAGCTTTGTCGATCAAAACCCGGTCGATCAGCCGGCCTCGCAATCCTGTTTTCATTCGCATAAGCAATATCAAGCTAGGGTTTTCAATCACAGATCCAATCCAATAAAAAACACAATAAAAAAACATCCTTTTCCACACAAATTACCATCAAATAGCTAAAAAACAAAAATCAAATTGAAACCCAGATAGCTCAGATCTTAGGGCAACCAATTACCACATCAAAATCATAAATTTCTACAAATAAAATCAAAATCAAAGTGAATCAATAAGAATAGAAGAACATACACGCCAGGTGCGGAAGGAAGAGGAAGGTCAGATGGGATAGAACCGCCATGAAAATCCTTGAGAGTCATGGTGCTTCCGCAAGTTTTCTTCTTCGACATTTTTTCACACACTTTCTCTCTCTCTCTCCCTCCAACTGAAATCAAAACCCTAAAAAATTTACAGAATCTGGGAAATGGAGGAGAGAGAGAAAGGGGAAAAGCGCGAAAAAGATGAATGAATGAATGAAGGAAGGATTAGTGGAATCGATGAACCCAGAAAGGGGGGAGGAGAGAGAAGAAGAAGAAGTGTGAGATTGATTCACGGGAGAAGAATTTGTTCATGTTGTTGGGCTATTTTAATTATTTGAATAAATTAACCATATTATTAATTAATTAATTAATTAATTAATTACTTGTTTTATTAAATTGAATCAATGATTAACAATTGTCTGATGAATGATGATCCTTTATCTATTTTGCCATTTGGTGCTACTCTGATCCAACATCTGTGATATGTTCTAAACTTCTAACTTATAAGAAACTAGAAAGTGACTCTTTAATTTAGTTTAAGGGCACTCGTCAAAAAAAAAAAAGTTTAAGGGCAATTTTAAAACGACTTTTCATTTGTTCCCTAACCGGAAGAAATTCTTCCAGCGAGACGCCCAAAATATGCATGTTGAGAAACGAGTTTGACCATAATTTATTTAATTACTATGAGTATATGTTAGTAGAATTATAGGAAATAATATATCATGGAATTATATATATTATGACGAATTCAACGGTATATTATATAATAGGAGTAATATTATTTATTTTTTATAATTAGTAATATAATTAAGTTAAAACCAATGTGTTAATAGTAAAAAAAAAGTCAAACTTAAATAAACATGGAGGGAGTAATCAATTTTTGGTCCAGATGATAGGATATTCGGTACATTAAGGGTATGTTCTCATTGATTGAACTCAGCTGAACAAACTGAACTGAAGTGAACTGAAATGAATATTTTATAAGAGAAGGAAATTAGGAGCAGAATTGAATTTCAACGTATGAGAACAGACCCTAAGTTGTTGTTAAATGAATTGAGGCATAAATGGTTAGATAATACTCCCTTCATCAAAACATAATATTTACATATATTCTATGTAATCCCTCTGTGTTTATTTAAATGCGTCAGTTTTACTGGCATATTTATCGAGATGCAACTTTAACCATTAATATTTTCAATTGTATATTAGTAAAAATTATAACAAAATCATATTATGAAACTAGACATTATGACTAATCTAATGATATATTATGTAATAACATTTATTTATTTATTTATTTTTTGAATAGCAAAAATATTTCATTAATTTAAAGTCATACGACATCTACAATAGAGATTCGACGTTAACAAATACATAAGATATTGAATCAAATAGAATATTCCTTCATAAAAACTACGATCGTCGAGTAGATCTTGCACTGCGGAGCATCTCCCGCTTATATCGCTGAAAATTACAGCCTTGTTGGAGAGACAATCTAACGATCCTTTGTATCCGTGAGGATGTTTTCCTTCTGATTCATCTGTTCGTATTCGAAAACTTGATAACTTTTTCACCAACGAAATAATTTCACGACAATCCATTAGATCTGCTACCATGGATTCAAAACTAAGAAATTTCTCCCTCGAAAAGAGGAGATAAACCTTGTCTTTCGAAGGAGGTCGAAAAACCCTTGTCTTTTGAAGGAGATCGGAATTGAAACCCTTTCTTTCGAGGGAGAAAAATTCCTCCCAAAAGGAGGAAGTATTATTATAAACCTTAAAAAAACAATAAAGAAACAAGGATTGGGGCTTTCCACCGATTAAAATCGATGGAAGCCCCTTCAAAATTCAACAATGGAGGCTAGGGTTTTTGAGAGAGAAAGGAGGAGAGAGAGGAGAGAAGGGACATTTATTTATTTTATAGAGTTGGAAAAATTAAGTCAATCATGGTATGTAAATAGTGCAAAAGTCAAAGTGATCCATTAAAAAAAAAAAAAAAAAGGAAGTAATTTAGAATGTTCACAAAAAATCTTGTTGCTACTTAAAATGGAATATTTATTTACTTAATTCATGTGATCACTTGCCTCCTTGACTACCTTTCTTCTTCTTACTTTCACTCCATGTCTCCAACTTACTAAATTCCTTAATTAATACAGGAATCCAAACTTAATAAGAAGATTATTTGTAAGCAAATTATACTACAATAGCTAGTAAGCTAAAAATGACCTTAATTTAATTTATACTTCATTTATTCTCTTTTAGCTAAACATTTTGACTTTATATATTTCACGCATGCAAATACATAATTTCAATCATTTACACTCCGTATCTCTAATTATAAATATGTCATGATTCGAATTCAAAGTTTGAGTGGTTCAATGAGTAAACGTTTGATCTTGTTCTTTGTATCACCATCTTGAACGCTAAAACCATCTCCTTTTTTATATATGAAATGGCATACTCTTGCAGTGTTTATAACAAGATTCACAAATGTTTGCTGCTTTGAAGTCGCACTGAGTAACTCCATGTTGATTTTACTCCAAGCACTGTCAATTATATCTTTCATATGCTCCCTAGCTATCTCCTCTGTTACACCCGCGTCTACCATGTAACACATGATGGATGAATGTGCGTCACCCTCTCAAGTTCCGCCTATTGAAAGAGAGAAATACAACATAAAGTCAATCTCGAATTTTTTCATTTACATAAATTTAAAGGTATGTACGTTTTAGAAGAAAAATTCCACATTAATTAGAATGTGTACACAAATCAAAAAATTTCATCTAGCCTAGTAGTTGTTACGTTCTTAGCTTGCTAGCTTTTTAGACTCATAAAATTCTGTAAGATACAATATAGTCTGGGTGCCTATTAAACATTAGTACGTGTTATGTTATAGTATCTTACAGATCGGCTTGAGCTTACAGCTCAGGCCGATCTGTAAGGTGCAACAAGTTACAGTTTCTACCTATAAACAATAATTTAGCTCAATTCTTGAACTTACAGCTGAAGTTCCTTGATCATTCAAGAGTCGAATGATTAACGACGAGTAATATATGAGATCTTGACTGTCATCCCACTTATCATTCAGCTCCTCTGATGTACAATCAGCTGTGCAGAGAAGAGCAATAAGGGAAAGCAAAGGTCCAGAGGAAGAGATCCATGCTGAATTCAAATAATCGTCGAGTGATGGTATATATCGCTTCTTGTACCACCAAGCTTCCCTTAGCAGTGCTTTGCAAAAATCAGCCCACTAAAAAAACGAAAACATGTCTGTTGATGAGAATTGTGAACTCAGGTTTTTTTTATATGCAGTAGCAATCAAAAATAGTGCAGAAAACTTGCGCTGGATTTTAAGAAAGGCGATATGTCGTTCCAGCCTTTAGCTTTTTGGATATCAGTAGCAATTTCATAAGTAGTTGTTACTAGTGCCTTGAAGCAAACCTTCATGCACTCTGGAAGTTGTTCGACTTCTTCATAATCCCATCTAAAATGTGATGCATATATTAGAAATAGTAACGAATAGTGTCAAATCCAGAAAACATATTCAACTAGGTCAAATACATTTGATAAATTTTAACGGATAATTTAAAAAAAAAAAAAATAAGCAATTTTTATAGGAAAAAGTAAAATTATATAAGGTGTTGAGAAACATGATTGAATTGAACTTCACATGTGGTAATTAAAGTCAATGAAGACTTTACTAAGTACAATAATTTGTATAAAGTACAATAATGTATATTATTGTATTCAATTATTTTGGCTATATAAATGAAAGTTCACGTATTGTGAACTTAAGTTGAAAAACAAGAAAAGAGTTTTCCTACCATTCTACTACTTACTTCCTATCTTCATCCCTTCACTGATAAATATCTTACCATCAGTAAAATATTTTTAACACGTTATCAGCACCAGTTTTCAGTCAGGTATATTTATACCTACTTCTAAAAAATTTATAACAAATAATACTATCCACTTCTAAATATTTCGAGGAGTATGCTTTATAGTTGCCCATATTTGGGATCCTCTATACCAGAAACTCAAACATTTACTGTATTATATATACCTCAAAAACAACGGTGAAAGTTCTCTTTTGTTTATTCATGTTGATATTTCTTTGTTTGATCCATGTTGATATTACATACTCATTTTACGTAAATTTTTATCTTAGTTATTATAATTGCTAAGTAGTAGCTTTGCATGCATATTATTATTAACTAGATTAACAAAAAGATGTAGCCTTTTTATACTTATTATTTTTCTTACTTTTACATACTTTTTTGTGTTTCTTTCCGTTTTCGAACCCATGATCTTTTATAGATATTAGGGCTCTCGGACCACTATGGCTTGCATTCCCAGTGTGATAACCTTTTACAATTATAAATATATATATTTAGACCATAATTTTTGTCAGTATATTAGATTGTTATATGATATTTTTACAGTTGTACAGAACAGTAACAGATAAACCCACCTCTATAAAAGACGGATTTTTCCCCCAATTTCACCACAAATCCTTTATCTCTTCCCACTTTTTATCAAAAAATCACCTAAATTTTTTTTTCACCCCCTTCTTCTCCGATATGTTCCCCGACGACGGCAACCAAAACACCCACAACTTCACTTTTGAGGAAGATTTAATGAAGATAAAACAATATTTCCTTTTAATTACGGCGCTTGTAATTTTATTAGTAGCAATATTAATTTTTGTCATTATGTATAAGTAAAACTCACTTATTTTGTCGTTTTAGTATATTAAAAGCTTGTTTTTGTTTTATTATGTATGTTTGTTGTTATTAATCATCATTGTATAATATTACCGTTATCATTATAATTATTGTTACTACTGTCATTGTTGTCGTTTTGCTGTTTTTTTTGCAACTAACATGATTAATTTTTGTCTAATCATATAATTACTCACAATAATAAACCAAGGGGGAGAAAAGACTATATTACTTATGGTTTATTATTATTAAATTTAATTATCACGTGTCTTATTAACTTAAATATAAATATGGAAGAACTAAACATGTGAGTTGTACATATAATTTGTTATTATAATCTAATTATCACGAAATTTGTTGTAGCTAAAATGGGAGACCTTATGAAAAGACAGTTCAGCATCTTAGATTTATCTGGAAAGAAATTTCTGGAATGGAAAGTGGACGCAATGATGAATTTGAAAGCTCAAGGCTTGGAGCACACTGTTAAAGAAAATAAAAGTCCCCCTGGTCAAACAACTGATACTACCACTTCTGCAATGACGGTTGAAAAACCCATTACTGAATAAGAAAAGGCAAAAGCCTTAGTTTTACTAAGGCATCATTT